TGGGACGACCTCGTCTCTCATCACACACTCCTCTTGGTGTACAAGTGTATTACAAAGTGTATCGTCACAATTAGGCTCAATACAACAAATGTTTGTTCTCTGCTGTGGACGAGAAGATAATAAAAGCTCACACTCTAAGTCACAAACCCACAACCCTAAATTATACTATGTATGCAAATATAATAAGCTCAATAGGTTATGTGTGAAATAAAGAGTAAATCAAATCAAACTAAACTCAAATAAATTCTAGCTTATGGAAATGAAAATCAAACAAATAAAATAGCTAGATTGAGTTTAGGAAAACTTCTCTATAGATAACAAGAGGGAGAGAGAGAAGAGTGGAAGCTCAAACTCAAATGGTGATCTCCTCTTCTTCTTGTGAAATTCTCTTCACAAACTAAACTCTTAAACAAACGCTAAACCAAACTTAAACACCCTTTAAACTTGTTTAAAAACTTTCTTAATTAACCTCAGAAGTATGAGGACATGGGGTATATATAGGCTCATGAAATAACCCCAAAAACCAAGAGAAAACATCACAAAAAGAAAAAATAACGGAAACTAAAAATTCTGGAAAACTAGCCGTTATGTTACCGTCAGTTGACTGATACTATTCATCAGTCGACTGATGAGCTGACCGTTACAGGCCAGCAACATATCATCGGTCGACTGATGAACTTTTTAGTCGACCGATGACCTCATCAGTCGATTGGTCAGTCGACCGAAACAAAGCAGAAACTTTTTGTTATTCCAAGCGATTTCTTCAGTCGATTGAACACATTCATCAGTTGACTGATAACATATCATCAGCCTGATTGAAACAGTAAAACTGAACTTAGAAGTACCTTTAAAAATAGCAAATAAATTCCAAAAAATATAAAACTTTAGAAAATGTTTATAAACATGTTAATGAACATGTTACAAAAAGAATTTTTGGAATTGCACTTCACATTTGTAAAAACTCATTATTTTTCAAAACAAGTCCAAAATATGAAAAATACAAAACACATGTTTTTGATACTTTAGCTAAACCGTATTTTGAAACTTTATAAACTGATTTTATACACTTGATAAAAGATACAATATATTGTTGTTAAGTCTATAAACCAAAAACTCAATATTATGCAAAAATAAAAGTTTGCACAATATGCATTTGATAAAAAGATAAATATGAAACATGTATATATATGTAAAAAATAATATAGGTTTTATATTTATATAAACTTATAAACTATAAAGCCAAAAACGTGTGTGTGTGTGTATATATATATATAAAACCAATAAAATATGTGTGTATATGATATTAAGCTTAGAGTACTTAACACACATAATATAAAACCTAAACTATTTACCCAAGCAATGATCTTGATCTTCAATAAGCTCTTCTTGGTAATCTTACGGATGAAACTTGAATTTGGATCTTCAACATGAATTGCATTGCTTTACTTCACTATTCCTTCAACCTCCATTGGATATGATCGTGAATGCTCGATTCCATCCATTCATCAACATATTATTTGTCTACAATAGATAAAAAAATACAAACACTAGACAAACAATATTAGTAGTAAATTATTTGTTAAACATTATCAAAACAAAAGGACTAATAATCAACACCGTACCCTTGACGGCGTTGTCGTTCTGAAGACAACGACTTTTGAATTACTACAATCGGACACCCAAGCTATCCGGAATCTGAACTTTTATCTCTCTCTTTTTCTTCTCTCTCTTTTCTCTCTCCTCGTGGCATTGTAGCAACCCGTGGTTACTGTAGCACCAAAGTACTGTTCACCCAAAAATTGTTTATATAAAAATTAATCTCAGGGCTCTCTTATATAGAATTCTCCAAACCTATTCCTATTTTAAATAGATCATCCAAATCCCCTTCTAAATATAGTTCTAATTCATGTAGACTTTTTATAGATAGAATTCTAATTCATGTAGACCTCCTCATGTGGGCCTTATCTTGGGCTGGACCCACAACAACATGAGGCCTCAATGGAAAATTACAAATAAAAAACTAAAAGAAAAGAAAACATGATCCATTCATTGGAGCTTCCTTTCACTAGGCCGATATTTGAATTATGATGAGCATTGAGGATTACAATTTTACATTCTAATGTGTAGGATCTAATATGTCGAGGGCGTTTTTTTTACCTAAAATTGGTTTCTTTATATACTTTTAATTTTATAATTTTAAATATGATTTAAATACATAGTCTTTAATTTTGAATTTAAATAGCTCTAGTATCATGTTAGAGATATCTTCTACTATTTAATGAGAGTTAGAAGAGTGTTTTATATTTGGGAAAAATGCTTACAGCCCTCAAAACCCAAGAAAACGTGCTTCCCTCCCAAGACTTTGTCAACGGGTGTTTTACCTCCTAAAATAAAGATTTTATTCTCTGAGCCCCCAAAACACAAAACCCAAGAGATTAAATTATGTGAAGACCATATTACCCTTCTCTCTCTCTCTCTTTTATCATGATGTAATGAGATGATAGTTGAAATGATTGATGTGAATTATTTTATTATTTTTATTTTTTATTATTTTTGTTGTTGATGAGAGGAACTAACTGTTTGTATTGGAAGATTGTTTAAGTTACGAGTTAATTGTTAAGGTTACGAATTAATTGTTAATATTACGGGTCAATTGTTAAGGTTATGGATTGTTATTTTATTATTTTTGTTTTTTTTATTATTTTCATTGTTGATGAGGAAACTAATTAGTTTTGTTTATATTGGGAGATTGTTAAGGTTACGAGTTTAATTGTTAAGGTTCAGGTTGGTTGTGAAGGTTACGGGTTTAATTGTTAAGGTTACAGATTTAATTGTTAAGGTTATGAGTTTAATTGTTAAGGTTACATGTTTGTTGTTAAGGTTACGAGTTGATTGTTAAGGTTACGGGTCAGTTGTTAAGGTTACGGGTCAGTTGTTAAGGTTACAGGTTGGTTGTGAATGTTACAGGTTTAATTGTTAAGGTTACGGGTTTAATTGTTAAGGTTACGAGTTTAATTGTTAAGGTTACGGATTTGTTGTTAAGGTTACGGGTTGGTTGTTAAGATTACGGGTCGGTTGTGAAGGTTACGGGTTTAATTGTTAAGGTTACGGGTTTGTTGTTAAGGTTACGAGTCGGTTGTGAAGGTTACGGGTTAGTTGTGAAGGTTACGGGTTTAATTGTTAAGGTTACGGGTTTAATTGTTAAGGTTACGAGTTTAATTGTTATAGTTACGAGTTTGTTGTTAAGGTTACGGGTCGGTTGTTAAGGTTATGGGTCGGTTGTTAAGGTTACGGGTTGGTTATGAAGGTTACACGTTGGGATATATATATATATATATTTTGAGTGGAATGAATACTTTAGATCACTTGGCCTAATGGTAAAGTTTGGGAGTTTGGGCAAGAGGTTAAGGGTTCAAACCCCTACAGCCATAATATTTTTAGAATATTCATTGTTAAGGATAATGGTTGATTGTGAATGTTACAGGTTGGTTGTTAAGGTTACGGGTTTGTTATTAAGGTTAGGGTTTTATTGTTAAGGATATGCGTTGGTTGTGAATGTTATGCTTTGGTTGTGAAGTTAACCTACACAAAAAACCCGTAACCTTAACAACAAACCCGTAACTTTAACAACCTACCTGTAACCTTAACAATTAAACCAGTAACCTTAACAATTAAACCCGTAACATTAACAATTAAACCCGTACTTCACAACCGACCCGTAACATTAACAACCGACCCGTAACCTTAACAACAAACCCGTAACCTTAACAATTAAACCCATAACCTTAACAATTAAACTCATAACCTTCACAACCAACTCGTAATCTTAACAATTAAACCCGAAACTTAACAATCTCCCAATACAAACAAAAACAATTAGTTTCCTCATCAACAACAAAAATAATAAAAAAACAAAAATAATAAAATAACAATCCCCTTCAATCATTTCAACATCATCACAGTAACATCATTATATATATATATATATATATATATATAATAAAATAAAAAACAATTAGTTTCCTCATCAACAATGAAAATAAAAAAATAATAAAAAAATAACAATCCCCTTCAATCATTTCAACATTATCACAGTAACATCATGATAAAGAGAGAGAGATTATGGTCTTCACATATTTTAATCTCTTGGTTTTGTGTTTTGGGGCTCAGATAACAAAATCTTTATTTTTAGGGGCAAAACACCCGTTGAGCAAAGTCGGGGGGAGGAGGGGGGGGGGGGGAGCACATTTTCTTGGATTTTGGGGGCTGAAAGCATTTTTCCCTTTATATTTTCATTATCTAATTGAAGCTTATATTATCTGATGTAATAATAATGTTGATGATGCTTACATTTGCGTTATGTTCGATACAATTTTTTCTTACTTCTACCTTCTAAATTGGCTTTGGACAAAATTTTGAAATAGACTCATTTCAATATGTATTCATCAAAATCAACTCTCTCTCTCAGTATATTTACAAAAATCGCTCCTGTGTCTGCCATGTCAACACCATTAGCTGAAATTAGATCGATTAAAAAATACATTTTACAAATTAATAGGGGTTGAGAATATCACTTTTAATTAGTGCAAATAATTAGTGCAGGGGTTGAAAATTAAAATTAAAATTTAATTAGTCCAGATAATTAAGTTTAAAATAGCCTTGATCGACAATCGCGGCTATTTTTAAACTAAGCTCTACATCGCACTGGTTGCCGAACAAGACTATTTTGAACTATGATTTACAAATTAGGCAACCCGTCTAATTAGTAGACTATTTTTTTTAAATTAATTTAATTTCTATTAAAAGTGTTGACACGGATTGAAACTGGGTTGATTTTTATAGACAAAATGGAGAAGAGGCGATTTATGTGAATAAATATTAAAATGGTTCCATTTTAAAAATGTGTCCATTATCATTTTTTCCGTAAATGAAGAAGCGGAATACGAACAAAATGGGGGTGAGAATATCACTTACCCATCACTCTACTAATTACGCAACCAGAGCGCGAGAATCGAGGGGCAAGATAAGAAAGAACAGCTAAGCTACTGCTGAGAGGGTGGAAGCACCGAAAATCTCCTCAAAGACCCCCCTCCAACTTTTCAAAATTTCAGAAACGCCCCTCCCTCCTCCGGCGGCGATCGCCTGCTCTCTTCGATGCTCTTTGAACTTCCACATCCTCGGCCCCCGCCGGCGCCGACCGACGGTCTCTTTGACAGGATCCTCTCGGAGCCGGTGCGACCCGCGATCGGAGGGCTAGCGTTTCCTCTAGGGTTTGGTTTCCAGGCGGAGGACCGGAAGCCTGTAGCGGTGAGCGGATCCCTTGATTGCTTGACTTTTTTGTTTCTCGCTTCGGTGGTTTTTATTTGAGTAGAAATGGCGCTTCTTTTCTCTAAATTTTGTCCAAAAAAGATATCTTGTAGCAGTTGCCCCCCAAATGTCTATGGAAAAAGCGGGGTTTTGAAAGGAGGAGGCAAAAGTTTGTGGCTTTATGATTAATAGTCTTTATTGCATGAGTAATGCACGTGACACGAATTTGGGCTTAAAGGTCCCTTCCGATGCACCAATACTCCAAAGTTATGATGAGAGTTTGAGGGTTCTAGTCTTATTCTAATATGCCCCTCTGGTTGAGTTCCCTTTTATGGGCTGGAACCTGTGCTCGTATTTATCATTTTTAAATTATTTTTAAAATTCGTGGTCCGTGGGGAATGCTTTGGAACCATATTGAAAGTTAATTCCAGTACACCAAAGCTATGAAGTTATGATGAGGATCGAGAGTTACAAGTGTATTTTCTGACATTATTCGATACAAGTTGTAATTGTTTTTTATGCAATGGGAAAATTTGAATTGAGAGGTATGGGAAGTAAGACGTGAAGGAAAATATATATGGGCAAAGTTCTAATTTGTACCATTTTGTTTTGAAGTAGATTTCAGAATGATATACAAACAATACCATCTGAAAATTTGAGAAATGAATGTGCAAGTTTTAGTTTTATGAGTCCTACATAAGCCACTTAGGCACTGTTTGGCAAAAGAAAAGTGTCTTATCTAAGAGCTTGTGTCTTATTGACTTGGTCAATAAGCTAGTAGAGCTGTTTGGTGACCAAAAATAGGAGGAGATTATTTTGGAGATTGTGTCTTTTGCAAGTAGCTTTTGGAAAGCTATCTCAAGTAGCGTTTGTCTTTGGGAAGGAGCTGCCAATTTTTTTCTTCCGTTTTTGCCCCTAATAATTCTAATTTTATATCAATAATATTGCATGTCTTTTTTAGTCATTTAACAAATTTAAGCTAGTTATACAGCTACTTTTGCCAAACAGCTCTAGTCAATCAGCTAGCTACACAGCTAACAGCTTTCAGCTATAATTTCACAGCTTTCAGCTAGCTTAACAGCTTTCAGCTATAATCTCGTAGCTTTCAGCTAGTTTTGCCAAACAGAGCCTTAATGTGAACCACACATGAGAATTTAATGTTGAAAACATATTATGAACAAAAAGTTAAGACTAGTGATGTTAAGGATGTTTTAAACAAAATAAAGATTGAAAATATTAGATCTTGTGATGCTCCTCTTGTAGTTCGGAGTGTTCAGAGGGGGTATGGCCTTGCTTCGACTAACTAAGTACAATAAAGTTATAGAAACTAAGTAAAATGTGCTATGAATTACGGATAAACATTCTGGTTAAAATTTATCGAAACAAGCTTATTACCAGCGCGAAAAGTTAGAAAGAATTAAAGAAAGCAAGATTAGAAATATCTAAGAAGATAAACAAGTATTTCTAAAAGTCTATTCAATTTTGTACGAGGGTTGATCACAAATATATTTATTTACTGAGACAACTGTCCGAAAGATATAAGGAGAAGAAAAGAGATATGCTGAGTTGATTATTTCCATTGTATTTAGAAAAAGCTTTTGATAAGTCTAGGATGATAATCTGGTGGATTCTGGAGAAGAAACAACTGGGGAGTATTTATTCGATTAACTATGTATCATTCAATACATTATTAAACTGAGAACAATCTAAGAGAAATGGAACTATTCCCAAGCACTATACACTTGTACCAAAGATAATCATTAGGTCTAATATCTTTGAATTAGTTATAGATGAATGTACTGGGCATATTCGCAATCTGTCTTGTAATGCATTTGTTTTCTAATGATGTAGTGTGTCAATGAGACTCGAGAATGGATAAATTCCTGAATAGAAGGGTGGCGAAAGGCTTTACAGCCTAAAGTTGTAACAAGAATACAGTTGTTATTCTAACATGGTTGACCTGAACTAAAGAGTCCAATCCATTCTACAAATTCAGAACAACACTTTGCTGCCCATTGGAGTTGGCTCCCTTCACCTGATTAAAATATAGTTGAGTGTATCTTCCTGCTTAACGAAATTGGCTGCTAACTCTTCATTTATAACACTGGTAATTACCATTTCATTGATAAGACTCAATCATGTATACAACCATACAAGGTGGTTCACGATGACATGGTTTGGTTCGCTTAGATTGGTCTCCTGAGTCAACATTGTACCATTTAGGTTACATGGCCATATAATAAGCCAAATTATAGTATGCTAGTGAGGCTTTGGTTATGGCATGTTCCAGGTTTAGGACTTGGCTACTTATCTTTGTTAATGAAAAGAAGAACAAAATCCTAGTACATTATTTGTATCCCTATTTTATCTGGATCTTTCTTTTCCGACGCGAAAGTACTGGAATAATTTACAAGATTTTTTTATGTGCTACATTTATTACCCAACACAAAAGTAGTAGAACTTGTGGAAATAGAGAGCTTAGAACAAGTTAGGCAGCAAAACTACCAATTTAAAGGGCATACACGAACTGAGTATTTAACTGTTGGTTATTTAGTTTCATCTTTCTTATATGAACATATCATCTCAACTTGGTGCATGATTAAATGAAAACTGGTAACCATGTTTTTATAATCTGTTACTCAAGGTTTACTATGCTCATATGGAACTCTTTGTAAACATTTTCATTTTGTTGTTTCCTAGATGTATGTTTCACTTCACGTCCAAGATGCGAATTAATTCAAATTTTATAATTGGTTAAACATAGCACAAAGTTTTCTATGTTTGCTCATTCTTCATTGAGGCAATTGTATGCAAGGGGATTTCACTAACATTTCTACAAAGATCTACTATGTTTTCTAGGTAGTTACAACAATGCAATCAAGATTCCCTACTTTTAGAATTAACATTGTCTAGACAAAGGATGAAGGAATGAACTGTCACACACCAGGCCCCCAAGCCCGTTGGTGCGATGTAAGCCATGAGACCCACTGAGTGTGGCACATCGTTTGGCTTAAACCACTGCCAAAATCGACTAGCCGATGCTACACTTGAACCCCATGCTTATCTATTTAAAGACTCTAATTCTTTTGTTAACTCCCGATGTGGGACTAAAAATAGGGATGTCACATGAACTTTGATAGCGATTAAAGTTAGCTCTAAAGAGCAACAATGATCAAGCAAAACCATATTTCATTTCTTAGGAATTTGAGAAATGGTTTGCTTTGTTTTATTTTGTATCTTTTCTGACTCCTTTTTGCTCAACATCCTTTTTAAAGCTTTCTATTAGTTTCGGGTTTCTACTATAGAGTGTTAAAAATTAAAAAAACCCTCTGAAAGAATTAACAATTTTTTTCCATGGGAAGTCAGCATAAATCACTCTCCCATAAGTTGCTAAGCTGACAGGCAAGTGTAAGTGGCAAGTAGGAAGGCAACCCTAATGCCTACACAAATCAACTGCAAAGTGGAGATCTCTTAATTTCTTAAGAGAAATGTTCAAGCAATGAGAAGAGGTCATTCATTTGGTATATGAAATAGTTACATTCATCTCTATGGTGGAGAAACTAAACCTAATAGCAAACTGTGTGGAGTTCCTCAAATTCGATTTTTATTACTAACCATTTATTACTATTCTAGACAGTTATCTTTATTTTTCTGTCTTCTGATTATTCTAGACAATGATTTGATGTACTGATTTCATATGTGATAAAATCCATTTTTCCCCCTATCTAAATGGCAACATTCACCTTATTACAATTACAAATATCGTTAGTACATTATATAGACAGTTCCTACCTTCTTTATGACACCTTGCTCTTCGAAAGACCTAAAGAAGGTTTACTTTACAGTCTTTACTAAAGAAGACCTACTTTTGTATGAGCCTGTTAAGTGAATTTTTTTGAAATTAACCTCTAGATAGATCGAACAATTTTGGAAGTATTCTTTTAAATTTGAAATTCCTTTAAGACCAAATTTTACTTTTACTGGATCTTCCATTGCTCAATTATTGTTCCCCATATGTATCAATGTGCTGCAACCAATACTCTTCAGAATCATCACTAGATGTTGACATCACAATTAATGCAGATGTGTTATACACCTCTTATCTTTCCTGTGGTCGAACAGTAATCCAAGTTTGTTACTGAAGTAATTGCTTTTTGAAAATGATCAGTGCACGGTGCACCTCTTCACAGCAGTGCGAAATTTGTCTGTTGGATGCTGCTGCCAATATTGTGTCCTGCAACTTGAATCCAAATTTCACATCATCTAGAGCTTAACTTGGCAGCTTATTGGCTAGAAAGATATGGTTAATATTTAAACAAACTATGGTTTCAATTATTGGATAGAAGTGACTGTGAGTTATTCCAAATAACTGAAAGTCTGGAATGATTTGGGAGGATAATTCACAACAGACTGACTTGAGGGGCAAAAATCAAGTTTAATATGATTTGAGGTTCGTGTATCCGAAATATCCAACATTTAAATGATCTTCAGTTTTTTGCTTTCAAGAAAGCTAACCTAACATAATGTGCTCAAGGCACCATATTCAATGTTACAGAAGGCACTTGGAGGCGTAGGTGTTGGAACCGGCGCTTAGCGTCTAGGCGGGGGGCCTAGGCATTTTCCTGGTTTTTATTTTTTAATTACGATTAATGTTATCGAAAGTGCTAGGCACAACTAGATGACAACTAGCGCCTAGGGCTTAAGCGCTAGGCCTGGGAGGATTTTCTGTTTAAGTGATGATAAAGAAGATATTGCTGAAGGTCAAAGGAGGTGGCACATGTGTTCGTAGTCGGTGGATGTGGCCAGAGGAGTTTGGAGGAGGTGAGAGGAAGTGGAGGTAGCAAAGGATGACATTACGATCAAGACCTAAGCAGTGTAGTTCATGTAAGCAGTCTCCGGTTCCCTAGGCGCACCCAAGACCAAGACGGGTGACCAAGGTACTGCCTAGGCCTAGACAGGACGTTTTTAAAACATTGACCATGTTAAGTGCTCTTCCGCCAAGGCTACATGATTGTCACACTGATTAGAAAGAAAGCTTGGTAAGTGGAAAGTTTGTTAGTTATGTAGGAAATCTGAGCTATTGTGCATTTTGTTCTTGCTTCTATTGAGAATACAGCTAGAGAGAATCGATTGGTATGGTTTGGTCATGTGCAACGGAGTGTGCTAAGTGAACCAATTCGGAGAAGTGATAACTGATAAGATTATAGTTTATGCGGTAATGACTAAATGTAGTCTAATAGAACATGATATGGTGCAATTAAAAATAATAGTTAATTGAGGACATAGCCTTTAACCGAATGGAATGAGAGAATGTGATTCATGTAGCCAACACTAACAATTTTAAATAAAAGCGTCATTATTGTTGTTGCTGTTGTTTGTTGTACATATTATTCTTGAGAATATATAAGGACTGTGTAACTCTATAATGGCCAGAATGGTGAAGGCTTTGCATCTATATTCTATTATATTATTCTCTGGAAATCATTCATGATAAATACAACCTAAAGGTCTAAAGAATAATCTTGAACGCTTCTGATTCTTCTTTCACATTTTAGTCCGGCAGTCCTATTATCTCCACGTATTTTAACTGATATAAGGAAGATTCTTCAGTGTTAATATGAAAGGTTTTATTGCTTATGGTATGTCAATATTGGTGCTGATAGGTAAGACTACAGACTGTCATGCTTGATGAAATTTTATATCATGTGAAGTTTTTGAGGCTGCAAGTCAGTGTAAAGTACGTAATTTTTGGCAGTGGCTATGAATAAATTCTGAGTTCATTGGAGGACTGTGATCATGTTTCTTTATGAGGAAGATTGTCACAGATAATTAATTATGGGAAATAGAATCAGAAACTCCATACTGCAGCCAAACAATAACAAATTTAATATGGTGCTTTTGTTAGAGGTCAGAAGTTGCATGATGCAACCTGCATCTTAATTTCTCTGATCTGCTTTCAATATTATGTTTGTATTGATTAAGTTGCTTCTGTTTCTGAGTTGGTAGTTACAGGAAAAAGTACAGAGGTGTCTAGTATACCATTTGTCTGCATAATATAATATTTGTTTCGTTTTGTTCAGCCCTGATCTGTAATTGGTATATACCACAAGATCTAGGCATCCTAAAATGCATGGAGCAAGCTCTTGTTTAAAATCTTGTCAGTTAACTCTCAATTACATACCTAATGGAGTCAAATTTTATGTGAGAACTAATATAGTTTATGCCAAAATGTATTTGTTTTTACACCAAACTTCCACCAACTAATGCAACAACTTCCACCTGCTTTATACCGGCTCCGTTGTGTGCCAGTTCTGCTGACCAGCATAATATTTCAGATTATGACTATCTTTATTGCACATGTCATACTAGCTCCGTCTTTAAAATATGGCATTACAATATTAGGGACTTACATGGCTCCATATTTTAGTAGTGTTGTTTACAATTTCCAGATTACTGCAACACAAGTATAACTAACACCACTATTTACAGTAGCACACATCATTGCTTCTGGGACTTTGAAATTTCTTTAGTAGGCTCCATAGAGGAGAATATAAAATTTTATAACTTTCCAAAGCTAGGACAGCCTGTTCTCCATGAGTTTTTGGAGAATATCTGTCTTCAAGGATTTAAGGAAGTTCGTTCAAGAAGAATTGAGGCAAATTGGGTCTCCACTGTTATGGTTGTGTTTTTCTGTGATATCAACTCCGAGGGCTATATTTCTTGGAATGCAAATGTGTTTCTCAAACTTCATTAAGCTTCAGATCCAAGTATGTTTGTGTGTTTGTAATTGGTTAAATACTAATTTATTATCTTATTACTATATATATATATATATATATATATATATATATATATATATATATATATATATATATATATAAGAGAGAGAGAGAGAGAGAGGAGAGAGAGAGAGAGAGAGAGAGAGAGAGAGAGAGAGAGGTTAGAAGGCAAGTTACTCCACGTGCCATGTTAATTTCCCACTTGCAATATTTGAAGCTTTTATGTTGTTTTTTTCGTTAATACCTTTTCATTTATTTTATCAAATGACAGGAGCCGAACATGAATGGACTTGGTGATTCCAGTGCTCTAGCACAGCTATTAGTGGAAATTGAAGTTCAAGCAGCTGAGGTAATCAGTTATCCCCTACTGTCTCTTATACATTACTAGCATTTGTTTTACTTGTTTATTGGGAGATAGTTTACTTCCTAATTTTGCTTGACTCCAGCATTTGGCAATAAAGATAAATATGTCTTGGAGTTCACCTCCATTTGATGCCTAATTGTTCGTCTATTTTTATATACATTTATAATTGGTATATTTTGTTTTGGACATAATTTTCTCACATTTTATATGAAAATATGTCCAAAACACTATATACATTTATAATTACTATATTGTGTTTTGGACATAATTCTCTCACAATTTGTATGAAATTGTTGTGATTAACATATTTGCTTCTTGACGGGGTACTTTCCAGAAGCATGGAGATCTACGTCAAAGCCCAACTAGATTTGTGTTTAGTAAAATCAATGTCATAAACATTAATCATGGCAACCATAGATTTATTGTTGCTTATGTTGCTCTATGGCGGTCATTCTGAAATATTGTCCAGAATTAAATTAAGCCAAGAGCAGACTAATTTGTTTTGTTCTGACCCATGTCACAGACAACAAATTTATATTCTGCGAACTTCTTGTTTGTTCAACTTTGCAAAAGAGGTTTTGTAAGTTAAAGACAATTACTAATCCATCTTAAACACAAACTGTAGCAGCAGCAGAATCAAACTCTTCAAATCAACCACTGATGCTTAAGGTCAAGGCTATGCTTACTTTTTCAAATTTCACATCATGCTCATCTGTCGTGATGTTGGGCTGCAAGTTCGTGGACCTAGCAGCCGATCTTGCTTGCTTATATACAGCATGACTTGGCTATGGGTCTGAGGTCTATGCCCGGATGATTAGACGGTTTCCGCACTCGAATAATGTTAAGATTTGGTCTTCCCTTGAGTCCATAAGACATATTTTCTATGAGGATTCACCCTTTGAAACTAATTACTTCTTGGGACCATTGATTTAATTTTATGAGATTCGCTCAAATTTATAAGAGCCAGACACCACTCAGGTCAGAGTTTTGGTTAGATTTGGACCATAGTGTCCAAGGTTCTATGCCTCATATCGGATCCCTGTTAGTTTACCCAAACCATTTGCAAGCTTAGATATGGCCTTACGAGTTGATACCCAGGGAGTCAAGCTTATCAGTTTCTTGTATTACCAACTCATATAAACCACATTTTAGGTAATGCACTGAATTATGTATTTGCATCCGCTTTCCTGTTATAATTTATTGTGTGAATCTGCATGGTCATGTGTTTTAAGTACATGTGTAGTTGTTATCAACACTAATTTGCATTCTTGCCCGCATATGTATTTCTTGAGAAACTTTTTTATTTGTCATGTCCTAAACCATTAACACATCCCCATTGATATTGAAACTCCTCAACTTCTGTTTGTACTCCAGGCTAGCGGCATTAATATAAACTTAGAAGTTATAGAAGTGGGTACAAACTTGTTTCATGATGTGACATTTTTGTTCAGACAATAAAAGCATACAAACGCTAACCTGAGTTTTTCGTTTCATATTATATTTTTGTCTCTGGCTTTTCTGTAGCCAAATGCGTCATTGGTAGTGTTAACAATATTATATATTATCCATCTCCATAATTCTCTTCTGAACCAAATTTACTTCAAAATGGAATTGATAAAGTTGTGTTTGCAACTGTAGTATGATTTCGAAATAACTCGATAGACTTAACTCATTTAGTAGAACATGACATTTGGACTTCAAAATGTATGATTTCGAAATAACTCGATATTATGATTTCAAAATAACTCGATAGTCTAACTCATATTGTAGAACATGACATTTGGACTTCAAACCCTAAAGGTTGTTGACTTTGGTTACACTATCAAAACTTTTGAATTTCATATACAGTTTACTATTCTTTAAAGAAATGCTTTCTTGAAACATAAAAAAACGGACAAAAAAGCATAAAATGAATACATCTGGCATGTTCTGGAGTTTAGGATAAACAAATTTTAGAATAGAAGTTGAATAATCTGCATTGCTTTGTTTCTTTTCGTCTGGTTTCCTATCTGATTGAATCTATTTTAGGAAGATACCAAAAAAGATCAATGGTTGTGCAACAAGTGGTTTAATGATGGAACTCGAGAGCAAGCAGCGAATCTCATAGAGGAAAACTTTGATGATACAGTGCAGTTTCTTCACTCTGAAGCTCGGTGTATTGTACCATTCTCCCTCATTACTACCATTTACCTTTCCCAGCACCATCAACCAAAACCACCAGATGCTGATACTCCTTCATAGGCTATAAACGCCACCTGCACGTGCCCATCAACTACTCCTATGCTATATATATATATATATCAAAGTTTCTTCAGTATTATTTTTTTGTTTGCTTTTCTATAAGTTTCTTTTTCTTTTGTTGTAGGTGGTAAGTGCATCAGATTCTCATACCCCACAAGATGTTTTCATATTTGTGTGCGTTTTGAGTGAGGGAGTTGGTTTCTTTGTGGTTAATGCTAGTATTGTTATTGTCTTGTTGGGAACTCTCTTTCTTTTGTGGCAGGACCAGTGGAAAAAGTTGTTGAACAGGTTTTATATGTACATATTGATACTTTGATTTGAATTAATGAATGAATGATGTTGATTGTTCTTGGAAGTTGATATTCATGATACATCTTTCTAGACTTTCTACTTCCCACCCTCTTTAATTTTTTCCGCCCATTTACATAATGTGAAAGTTTGATTCATGTGAATGTGGTTCCCCATTTGAATGAGTAGATAAGAATGAGCCACCTTATTACTAAGCATCAAATTTTGTGTTTGGTAGTGATGTTATCACTTCTCATCTAATTGTTCAATCGTCCAATTCATGTGCACCCTTATGTGAATGTTCTCTCTTTTAAATAAGTGGATGAGAATGAATCATCTCACTACTAAGCATCAATTTTATGGTTGGTACGAAGCATGCTTATCAATGTGCACCCCTATGTGAATATGTTATCCCTTTTAAATAAAATATCATATATATATATATATATATA